GAAGTACTCGATTGGGATTGGTCGTTTCTTTACGCTTACGTTTTAAGTTTTTACGGAATTTTGTGTATGATGGCCTTAAACGTTACGCATGCGCTTTGCACAGGCAGAACACTGATATTGATACAGAAAAAGACAGACGAGCATTGTCTGCACCGTAGCGTTGCGGTATCTCTCTCTCTCTCGCTGAGAACTACGCACCATATGTTAGTATTACATATATGGCCCTACTACTCGACACGGCCTTGCCCCCACTCCGTGTCACATCAGCTGACTGGCCACTAACTATGGTCGCTCGTAAGCACGTGTTCGTGCGAGCGAATGACAGCTGGGCTGTGCCTCAGCGGTTGAACCGATAGATAGCGCGGCAGTCGATACGATCGTCGACACACCGTCACTAGAGATCATAGCGACTCGAAAGGAAATTTGTGAAGCTAAAGCTTTTTCTGTGCTTCCGCTAGACGCACGAAGTCGTCCTTCTTCGAAATAGATGTTAATTAGTAAAATTAAATAATCGCGCGAAAGAAAATATAGATTATCTTTAGATTGACACATCGATCGTCTCACGGCATATGTACAGAAAATGTTCAATTTACACGGAGAGAGTATTATAATTTTTCTTTTTCACATAAATTCTTTTGAATTTTAACATGTTTTTAATGATGCAGCAGTAAACTGTCAGTAAGATCAGTACGACTAAGGAACATAGTGAATTTCGCTAGGAACAGCAAACTTTTTAATAACACATTTTAATTCCTAAAATATAAATAGGACATACGAAAAATGAAAGGATAATAGATTACTGCAGAATGTCGATCTATTCTTCAGTTATAAAGTTCTATAAAATCCTCTTTCTCTCTACACATAAAATAAACCCGAAAAATATCGAAAACGGTTAGTTTTTAGATTTATGTTTGTTAAGAATTTTCTCACACACACACTTCTCTATTTCTACTAAGAAATTTCTAAGAACTTATATTTTTATACGAAAAACTTATTTCGTTTAATTCCCGGAAAGGTGGCAAGTCTCATTTTATTTTTATATTAACTCCTTTTTTATTGCCCAATTAAACAATTACCTGTAACTGTAAAATTTCTTGCGTATATATTATTAGAACAAAAGAAGAAAGAGAAAAAGGGGAAAATTCCTTTATTTATGTCAAATATTTCTACTTAAATAGGAAGCTCTCTTACGTGAAAACATAGGACGAGTTCCATTTGCGTCACGCACGTGTATCTATCTCTTATCCCTTCTTGAATTAAGCGTTCGATTATCCCCCTCGTTATCCTAGTTGTGGGCACGTGCACGTGCACGTGTTCGCAAGAGACGGTAATGGCGAGTGTGCCGAGTGGAGAACTCATCGTGCGAGTAGCAACCCCGTGAGAAAGAGAAAACGCCTGACCTTCTGTAGGAGAGAAAATACAGACTAATGGCAATCAACGTGTTTTGCGAAACCAAGCGTTTACCGCGCTGCGCGAAAATTCTCTTTTGTTTAATTCTCGGGAGGACAGCGAATTTCGCTTCATTTTATTGTTAATTCAACTTTAGCGTATATTTTTTTATAGAAGTGTGCTTCCGATCATGTCGCTATCGTTCTTAAAATATCATTACATCAGAAATACACGAGATTTAAGATAAAACCTGTCATTTTGCTGAATTTGCATTTAATTAAATCTTAAACAGCTTTACAGTGAGGATAGACGTTTCTTGATATTACGTTTCATATTATCGAGGAACATTACCGTGTGCCATTTCGCATTCCTTAAGTACGAACCAAGCGTTGGCCCCTTCAACTGGTCGTGCCAAAGGATCCGCTGATTATCTTATGAAGCTAACTCGCGCGATTTCGAAACTTTCCGGAATTCTCTCTGCTATGCATTTCGCGTTCGCGTAATTGAAACTGATTGCTATCTATGATTAACCCCTTACTGCCGCGGAATTTATCTGCACATTCGCTGCAGCATTCGCCTGCGCGCGTGCGCCACGAAATTATGCCGTCAAAAATTTCGCTCGGCTTGCTCGCGCGACAGCGTACGTATCGACGAATCCTAGGCGGCAATTTATCAATCTCCCGAATATCCCCCGTCACTGCAGAATGCTCCAAAAAGCTCACGAGGCCGATATTAACATCAACTGCGTGGATCCCCTCGGGCGATCGGCGCTCCTCATGGCGATCGATAATGAAAATCTGGAGATGGTGGAGCTTTTAATAGAGCACAAGGTCGATACCAAAGATGCGCTCCTCCACGCTATCTCCGAGGAATTCGTCGAGGCGGTGGAGGTCCTTTTGGAGCACGAGGAGACCCTTCACAGAAATGGCGAGCCTCATGTAAGCCTTTGTATCCTATATATGCGAATACGAGCATGCTTTGATAGAAAATAAGAATTCATCACACTGGAAGAAATTATTCGATAAGATACTAACAAACAGATATTTCCGATCAAAATACCGATGAATATTTATGTCACGATATCTGATTAAATTTAATCGACTATTTCCGATCATAATAGCTTTTTATCAGACCGATCAAAGAATTATGAATCAATATTTTTCATCGAATGTCTCCTGATAGATACACAAATTCATCGGTATTTTGATCGGAAATCCGTTTGTTAATTTTTTATCGGATAATTTCTCTCCAGTGTAGGATTCATCAAACTTTTTTTTTTTAACAACACATGGTTATCTCGTCTTTTTTTCTTTCCAAAGTCTTACAGTCATCGTAATCACAGAGCTGTTCGTAAATCGAATATTACAGTTTCCGTAATCCGTAAGACACAAACGGATCCGTTTTCCGGTCGTATTTGCACAACAAGTACATTATTCGTTGTCGCTGATTGCATCGCTATCGTCGCGTCCTAACGCGAGCGGCATAGCTAGGATATGCAGACGCCGAAAGCCGATTGAAGTCGCAAATCAATCGCGCGTCGCGTTCCGGCAGCTTCACGAGCAGTTTTCCCTTTGTCCTGTCAACCGATCAACCGATCGTATTGCACCTCACAAAGGCGATTCTGCCGAAGTGAACGACCGGGAAGTCGTTCTGCCGTGTCCGGTAGAGAACGAGGATAGACGGCGAGTCGTCAAAGAAGAGGAAAAAAAAAACGAGGGGACGAAGGGAAGAATGCGAAATTTCGTGCGGCAGCTTTAATCGGCTTAGCCGAAAGCTTACGCGGAACTTCGGGGATGATATCCGCGGCGCGAAAGAAAATGCACGAGCGAATTCATTATATGGGGGGAATTGGATCCCCGCGAGGAAAGGGTTACCACCCGTGACGATGACTGATTAAGCCGATTACGTTAGTACAATGCCAACGAGTTCTGGGCACGAAGGAAGATTATTTGTCGATTGTCCGCGCGAGACGTCTCTTCCACAATCGACTCGGGCGCTTCGTTATCTCATTGGCGCGAGGCTCGCGACTGAAAAGTGAGTGACTCGGGCGTCGAGCTCGATGAAGCGCGATAATTGCGAGGAACCAGTCACGTAAATCAGCAGAAACCCGAAAGGATTGATAAGCGAACAGTTACGCGGCTGGCCGGAAGAGGAGAGCGAGACTCTGCGAGCGACGGGATTTTAGAGCAGTATAATGACTTTCGCTTTAATCCTCCAGAGCTGGGAGGCTCTGCCCGCTGAAACAGCCACGTTCACGCCCGACATCACGCCGTTGATCCTGTCGGCTCATAGGGACAACTACGAGATCATAAAGATACTGCTGGATCGCGGATCCACTCTGCCGATGCCGCACGACGTACGCTGTGGGTAAGATACTTTCATGAACATTTTCGCGATTTAAGGGAATGTTGAGGTCGAACTCGAAAAATATCGCAGAGGCGATCGTCATTATCACAATCACGCTATCCTTTTCGTATTTCCTGTACACTCAGTTGCATTGATACTATACCATTCATCTGATCAATAGTCACTAGAAAGTTTTGACCAGCCGTGTCCGTTTCTAGCTGATCGTTTTTCATGATTGTTAATTCATCCGGCAAGCGGGAGTGTGTCAAAATAGACATGTGTCAAAGTGACATTTTGACTTTTCGTATATACGTGTTAATAATAATTTAATAATTTAATAATTATAATTTTATATATTAACTTCTTATTCGTCTTTTTTAACATTTTTACTCTTCTTCTACTGATTGTACATTACATGTGAGCGGATAACCTTTTGATAAAATCACGTATGTATGAAACGTCAAGCTGTCAAAATATCAGTTTTGTTTTGACACATTCCCGCTTGCCGGATAAATCAACAGTCATGAAAAACGATCAGCTAGAAACGGACACGGCTGGTCGAAATTTTCTAGTGATTATCAATCTGAATCAGATCGATAGTCACTAAATAGTTTCGACCAGCTGTGTCCGTCTCTAGCTGATCGTTTTTTCATGACTGTTGATTCATCCGGCAAGCGGAAATGTGTCAAAATAGAAGTGACATTTTGACAGCTTTTCGTATTAATATTTTATTTTAATATTTTCACGCTATTTTCTCTCAAACTACTCCTTATATGATAAGCGCCCGAGAATATTCATAAACATTCTACTTTACTATATTCGAAAAAAATATTTTAAATAAAATATTTAAAAATATCTTTTATTTTTACTTTTGAAATTCTTACTCTTCCTCTACTGATTGCGCGTTACACGTGAGCGGATAATCTTCTGGTAAAAATACGTATGCAAGAAATGTTAAGTTGTCACTTCAAAATATCACTTCTGTTTTGACACATTCCTGCTTGCCTGATAAATTAACAGTCGTGGAAAACGATCAGCTAGAAACGGACACGGTTGGTTGGAATTTTACTATATTCAGCGAAAAATCAAATCACGCATATGCAGAAATTTTTTTGCAAACTTTTCCGATATTCTTAAGTTTCTGAATTCAGATGCGAGGGTACAGCAATGTTCTTCAAAATTTTTCTTTTTGGAACATCCACTTTTTCGATATGTACAAACTGTGGATTTTTTGGATTAGGCAAATAGTACGCTAACAGCTTGAGGTTTTACATAAAAAATTTTTTTCTCGTTTTCGTTACGTATTGTGTAATATTTCTATTTATTTTTGCACGTACTTTTATTGCGTAAAAGTATATGTTATTCTGTGCAACCAACACGACGTAAACCTTGCAGAAAAATATCAGTACTCTATCGGTAAAATTTTCAGCTTCAGTATCCCTTTAATCGACAACTCTCTACATCGTCTTATCTGTCTTGAATTGAGCAGTATTTGATATTTAACGAAAAGCTTGATTACTTAAAACGCGAGGGTTAATTTGGTGTCTGCTTATCGCCATTCTTTCATGTGCGAGTGCTGTCAAAAGTGCTCGGCCGTTGATCCCTAAGTAAGTGCGCTCTTTTTGGGCTAATTAATCCCCTTGACCGGTTTAACCGTCTTATGCCTTTGTGCGGCCGCGACAAAAGCTAATTAAATTAGGCTAAGCGTACGTGAGTGCCGCATTACCACTACCATGTATACGGGAGGAAATTTAATCTGTGATAATAGCATTATATTAAGCCTCATAAACCCCATTCTCTTGCAGCCTTCGCCGAACTAGAAGAAAACTTGCCGAATTCTTCGTCGACGTATAAGCTAGAGGAGGAGAGAATCTCGCACCGTATTATGTATAACGTGCTACGTTATTACGTAAAGTAATATTTATTCACGGTACGGCCAATAGATCTAAAAATAAATACCACCCGCGCGCTGAGTGTGGAATAAGGGAACAGAGAGAATGAGTGAGAGAGGGAGAGAGGCAGAGGAAAAAAGAGCGCGGGGAATAGTTTCATGCGCGCGAGGCAGTTTTGAATAACAATATTTCTCGTGCGAGTCTCGCGTGAAGAACTGCCATTTTTCAGGCAAAAGCCGTACCGGAGGTGCGCGCTGAGTATTCACATTCTTCATCTATAGTAGCCCTTTTGTTCGAAAAATGCCAGTTCTTCGCGCGAAATATCGTTACTCGCGAGAAAGATTGTTATCCGAACGTTGCCTGCGTGCATTCTCTACGCGTAAAAGTAAAACGTCTCGGCTGAAATTCCACAATAATAATCGCAAATATACATACGGAAACGCTCAATTCCTTCCAATTCGAATGCAAGATTTCCCGTCGGTCGCGTTACCGTCCGAGTGTTGATAAAAGGGATTACAGACGATGTAACGTCGCGCGACACACGATCATCCTGGGAAATATTCGGGAAACGCGCGAGAAGCGCATGGGAGAGCTGCCGCGGGGGCATTTCATTTTTGCCGTTGTTGCAATTTGTTTTATTTATTGTAGATGCGACGAGTGCGTGACATCGAGAATGGAGGACTCCCTGAGGCATTCAAGGAGTCGAATAAATGCCTATCGGGCGTTGGCGTCGCCGTCCTTGATAGCACTGTCGTCTAAGGATCCTATTCTGACTGCCTTCGAGCTCTCCTGGGAACTTCGACGGCTCTCGTTCTTGGAGCACGAGTTCAAGTGCGAATATCAGGTGAGGAACATTTCTTGGATCTGTCATTGCTTATTAACCTGTCACCATAAAATATCTTTCGGCGGATACATTATTAACACGTTGAATGTTATGTCGACTTCCACTGATTATTTCAATACTCAATTCAAGTTTGAATCACCTACACGCGGTAAATAAATCCGCAATGCAAATCCGCGATGCAAACGTCTGTTAGTTCATTTCGTTGGACATCTGGTTATATATTTAATTTGTCACATGCACTTCATCATTTTTACGCGTAAATTACATGCCTATCAACATGTTAATCAACACTCTTTTCGCAAGTTTGAGATTCTAATAATTTAAGTGACTCGAAATTCAGGTAGGTAAAAGTCAAAACTGGTCTTGGAGCTAGCAATAATGCCTTTCCTTGTTTTTTCAATGTCATATAAATACAAATAGAACACATGTGCACTAGTTCTAGAGCGAGATCAGAACGTATTTATTATATTTATCTGTATTTATATGACAATAAGAAGAAGAGACATCCATGCCGACTCCATGATCAGCTTGTTTCAACCCTTACTTATTCATAATTATCTATCATCAGAGAGCCGTTTTCTTATTTCGATTTATTGCGCACTGAGGGAAATGTCTGATGATACTAACCAGAATTCTATTTAGGTTTACCAAACGGTATGGTGAATAATTGTGTAACAAGATATTTAGTCAATGATACCAAACTATCTGGTGAGCGCATTGTCTAAGTAGCATTACAGTGATGCTTAAATACGTTTACCAAACCGTCTGGTACAGCATATAATTAATAATTGAAATAATAAAATCTAACCTAAAATTTAACCATATTATATGTATAATTTTCATATACTTATTGTATATAATCTTTATATATTTTCTTCTAAATCCGTCGACATATTTTAAGAAATTTCATTCTTCCAAATATCTGACGTTTCAGCGTCCATTCTTTTATAGCATCGATGTCTTTACAAATTAGTATAGATGAAAAAGGAAACGTCGCAGCGATTAACAATTAATTATCGCGTCAATAGTACTCACGTCTAGAGAGAATTACCAAAATATCTACACTGAGAGAAAAATTATCTTAAAATCAACAAATATTTCCTTGGTGGGTGCCATTAACATATTTACTTAAATCTACATTCTCTTTACTTAAATCAAATATTGTTTATTTAAATCAAGTAAACAATATTTGATTTAAGTAAAGAGAATGTAGATTTAAGTAAATATGTTAATGGCACCCACCAAGGAAATATTTGTTGATTTTAAGATAATTTTTCTCTCAGTGTAAATGCCTACAACTAAATGTCTCGGTATTGACTACTAGATGCGTCGAGGCATCGTAATCAGAATATTGGATATATGAACCAGATATCGCATATAAATTCACTATATTACTTTCATAAGACGAGTATAGTGTCATTCACCAAGCCACTTCTCTCAGTGCGTGTATTATCACTTACTACTAATAATAAATCAGACTTAACGACTTGACCGACAAATCTCTGATTCCGCGAAATGATAAAAATTGCGCTCAGCGATTTTCTTGTAATTTTTATCGGAGGGTGAGGCACAAGAGCTCGTACAGACGTGACAGAAATACATGGCTTATTTCGAGCGAGGCGCAAAAAGAGGATCAACTTTTTGTCGCACGTAATGGCCGCATGAGAGGCAAGTTGGGCACGAGAGTTCACTTTTCCGAACGATCCGCGAATTAATACGCGATCGCTGTTCGGCGACTTTTCCTGACGACGGCCGATATCCCATTTTCGTGGAACGAATACACTTCGCGTGTGAGGCGCTTCGAATTACCTCACGACAGTTAACACGTGTTTTCCTTAATTTAACGGTTGCACGTTCGCGCGTTTCCTTTTGCATCCCTCTCGACTGAGTCTCAAGCGCATTCCTCAAAGTCTGTTTAGCTTCTTCCTTTTCCTCCTTCATCACCCTCTCCCTTCCTCTCCCGCGCCTAAGTGGAGAAAGTTTAAGTGCTCGCTACGGTCGAGCAACTTTTGATTTATATGTGCATAAATCGCGGTCCGTGGCAGCAATACGGCGACCGAGCAACATGCTATCAGGTTGCTCTACAGTCCCCTCGTCCCGCCATTTATTCACCTTTTCGCCGTTGTCAAGGCTCGTGGCTTCCCTTTCGCTTACCCTTTTCGCAGCGTCATCAGTGTTTCTTTGACCCTTTGTTCTCCCTCTTTGTTCATCCTTCTTGTCAATGGAAAGTTCACTTTTTTACTCCCCGCCACTGTATCTTTCCCTATCTTTCAAGTGTCGAGCGTAGGGAGCAGCTCGATGAAGACGTCTTTAAGAATAAAGACGCGAATACCTTGACAAATTGCTTCGGAGATCCTTCTCAATTTCTCTCCTATTTCACCCAGCGCCGCTTTTATCTTCCTGCCGGCTTCCGGGAACGTCTCGAGAGTAGTTTCGCTCTCAAGTCTTCATTTCGATGTTTGACGTATTAATCGGATTGATCGATTGATATGAGTCCTTCGCGTCCTCTTCCCGCATATAATTTCTCATTAGGGAGCAGATCGGGGCACGAGTTTAATAAAGTGGCATTGTGTGTCGGCACCCTCGTGTTTCGCGAGACAGCTCAGGTTTACGACACCGTCGAGGTTGAAGGTAGACGACCTAACGTTGCAGAATGCAATTCGGATAACGATGGTCTCCACGCGATAAGCCGTGCAGTAGTAAACTTGATGTTACGCAGTTATTTCGACCGCTCGACCCACGCGACGTCTCTTCCCTTTTCTATCGCGTGCAATTTCTTCATTATTATCGAATATAAACGGCATTTGACGGCAAAAATAAGAGATAAATGAGCAATGAGAAATATAAATCTTTTAGACTATATCTTATTTTGTTGCGGGTGCTCCAAAATTTCCAAAAGTCAAATACGATTAATGAGGTACGATACAGGCGGACAGCAATTCTACCCTATTTCCGAGTGCGAGAAACAAGCGTACGAGAAGAAATTGCAAGTGCTCCGACAGAGGTGCGCGTGTTGCAACAAGCGTGAGCTCGAAAACTTGGTACTATTCGAAGCATCGAATGCCGCCGAGGATAAATTCCTGCTGGCAACTGATGCACCGGCATCCGCCCCCGCGATCGGTAAACCATTAACGAAAATAGATTAACGAGAATAGATTACGGCCGGTGGAGAGCCGCTCGACACGTTACTTTCGCCATTCAATGATGCGGGGACGAAACTTCTTACCACGGAGAATTCGGTCGGCGCTCTTTTCCGGCCGGCGATGTGGGACGACCGTTATATCCGCGACAAGTACGTGACGGGAATTCAATCGATTCCGGGGAAAGATTGGCGAACGATTAGGATAGGATCTCGAGCGCTGCTTGTCGACCTTACAGCAGCGAGCGAGAGAGCCTGAAAGTTCGATCAGCCGTCGGCTTTGTCGAGCGCGCGAATCCCACCTCCTCGACTCGCAATTCCCGACACGCGGCGGGGGCGGCGGCGGGCGCGGGGAATTCGCCGATTTTCCGGGAATATCGAGTGAGATCGCGTCCCCCGGAATATCCGCGCGGAATTAGGAGGATTATTTTCGACGATGCCAGGAAGTCGAACGTCCGCGGAGAACGTCCCGCATTACGTCGTTGTTGATTGCGAGAGCGGACGTAACATCATGATTTCAGGAGCTCCGAAGACAGTGCCAAGATTTCGCCACCGCTTTGCTGGACCACACTAGAAGTTCCTACGAGCTCGAAGTCCTGCTGAATCACGACCCAACGGGACCAGCCTTTGAGCACGGGGAGAGGATGCATCTGAATCGCTTAAAGTTAGCCATTAAACTGCGACAGAAGAAGGTATGACTCTAACGCGATTTTAACCGTTTCTAATTACATCGAATTCTTAGAATTAGCGTTAACTATTAGAATTATTAGAAACAGAATTAATATTGCTATTAGAATATAACATCGGTAATATCAGGGATATAATATTGGGACTATTAGAAAAGTTTCTTTTATTATCGGCTTACGAAGCCGCGTCTAAGCCGCACTGAGAGAAAATGAGAGAAAATGACTGATTTAAAATTATAGTTATTTTTAGCCTGGGCCATACTTTTTGTAGTAAAACCGTAGCGTAGCAACATGTGCATAAATAAGCTTATTATCGCTAACGCATTATTTAATTAAAAAATTATTTTCTTGGCCATAGTTTACGACATAATTATTCCTCTGTGTGATTACAGTTACAAACACGAAATATTTTTTTTCTCAGTGCACTTCTTGAAGATCACGCAAATTCAAACACAAGTCCTAAATGTCCTAGACGTCCTAGATGTCTCGTCGTGCGAGTGAAGACATTTTGCTAACACAATTTTGCTAAAAATCATATCGCGCGAGTCTCTCGCGCCTAATTGCGATATCTACATTCCAAGGCATTATCGACAGGCACAATCGAGCTTAATTAAACAGACGAGAGCGGAGAGACAGAGGACGTTCGTTAGTTTAATGTCATAATTAGGGACGATAGTTTGGACAGCAATTGCAATTTAAACTCTGATTGCGGACCACTGCCACCTTGCCCGGTCACGTGGTCGGAAACTGTCGGTCAATATCACGTTACCTGGATATTTCCAGTTCGTGGCGCATCCCAACGTGCAGCAGCTACTGGCATCGATCTGGTACGAGGGCCTGCCGGGGTTCCGTAGGAAGAACATGTTCCTCCAGGCGCTGGAGATCGTCAGGATCGGCATCCTCTTCCCGTTTTTCAGCGTGGCGTATATCATCGCACCTCACAGCGTGGTTGGCCAGACCATGAGGAAGCCGTTTATCAAATTCATCTGTCACTCCGCGTCGTATTTCACTTTTCTATGTGAGTACACTCCTTCTCGCGCGGCGCGGTGCTTAAACATACATCGCGACGTAATCCTATCCGAATGGGTTCGCGACCCGGAGAGCTCAGCTCTGCGAGGAGGAGCTCCTCGCGCGAGGAGCTCTTTTCATTTATTAATTACTACGGAGAAGATTAAAGTGAAATCCGAGATAAGAAAGTCCTCGAAGCTCAGCGAACAGACGCGGCGTCTCGTTAACGCGGACGGATCGGTTATCGTTCCGCGGGCTGGTCTCGTGTCACGCTTTAAATCCACCCACTTGGCACGAGACACCCGAGCCGTAACCTGCCATTTCCTAGATTGTTCGCCACACTTGATCAGCGTGACCCGAATACTCGCTTCATCCTAAAAGGATATCTCGCCGGTATCGCTGAATCAGCTCGATACACATCCATTCTTACAAACATCCACCGTCTACTGTGTTGCCTGGCGCGCCTCCCCTCTCCCCCTGCCTCGCCTCCGCAACACTTCATTAATTTACGGAGCAATTAAAGCCCTGCCCAGTCGCGCTGAATACTTTGCTAAACGAACGTGGCGGCGTGGGAACATCGTTTTCACAATAGTCCAACGATAGATACGCAAGTCCTATTTTTTCCGACTAAATTGTCCTCGCGCCGGGAAGGAGGAACGTGAGAACAATTATTCGATTGGACCCATTTCCGCCAGCCGTTTCGCGTTAATTTCGCGCGGTATTTACAATACGCGCGACTTGCTTCTCGCGGGAGCACTCGGAAAAGGGAGTGACACACGCGAGAGCGCCTTGAGCGCTTTCCTACGGCGTATTTAACTTCCTGGCACGTTGGCGGATCAAACAACCACGTGGCGAACGTCAAACAGTTTACAAATACCTTTCGGTACCAATAATAGTCGTGCACCAATGCGCGGGTAATTCTGACGGCTAAGAAGCATTACCGCCGCGAGCTTAATTGTTCGCCCGATGAGCGACACATCCAGCTTGGTTCGCGCCGCTTCAATGGCGATCCGATACTCTACTCCGAGAATGTTTCACGTCGCGTTAGCAGACAGAGTGTTGCAGCGATAGATCTCTTTGACGAGTCCGCGTGACGAGTCTCAGAACGCGGCTGTTCTCTGAGAAAGAGAGCCTCGCGGGAAGCCGTCGTGACTTCTCAACTCTCAGAGCGTCAAACACATCTGGGATGTTAAGTCATAAATTAAATCTCCTGCCAAAATGAGGGCTATTCCGAGTGAGACGCGAGAAACGCGCGATCTATTTTTAGCGTTTGCCGCGACGTACGAAAGTTAACTGCACGGAATTTTCAACGATGATGATCGCGCATAATTTTGCCTGCGCAGTCATGTTAATTCTGGCTAGTCAGCGGATAGAAAGCGTGATCGGTAATTGGGTGGGAGACAACCCCGACATGCAGCGCGAGCCACCGCCGACGAAGAGAGGTGCCGCCCCGACGATCGTGGAATGGTAAGTAGGCACGCTTCTCCCCCTCCCCTCCCTTCGATCTCGCAATTATTCTCGTATCGCCGAGTTATTGGGAACGTTAACGTGCGAGCGCGCGCGACGTCTCCGGCTTTTTCCAAGACGGGCGAGTTAATGGAGCGTTGAGGAAATTTCATGCGCGAGAACTTTCACGAGCAATCTTCGCGGAGGATTAAAACGGTTCGGACGAACGAAAAGGACGGGCGTAAAAATAAGCGGGGTGAGGAAAGCGCGATGAAGTCCATAATAATATCTCGCGACTTATGACTCTCCGCCGCGGTAAACGGTAACGCGGAACGCAATAACGTTACACACAAAGTCGATAGTGAGCGAGATAAGCTCCGGAGACGCGTGCAATCTCCAGGGATCTTTCCCTTCGCGGTGACGAGATTGAAACACGGTGATCAAGAGGCGTCGCGCTGCAAATTTAAACCCACCTCGCCTCATCTCCGGATCGATTTTAATTTAGCGCGTTATCGCGCGTTATCGATAGGCCGCGCGAAACTGAGAGCCCTGTTCTTATCTGACGAGCGATTGTAATTACGGGAAATAGAGAGAGAGGGAGGAGGGCAGAGAGAGAGAGAGAGAGAGAGAGAGAGAGAGAGAGAGAGAGAGAGAGAGAGAGAGTGAGAGAGACG